GTATTATCTACATCTGCCTTAACATTATATGGCAAAACAAAATCAGTAACAAGATGAGAAAATGAAAATATATCTCGATACCAACAAAGTTATTTACTGCTATTCAACCTTTTAGAACTAGATAAGAGTATGAATAGGATGACAGCATAATATTAAGCTCTTATAACATGATGAGGTTTAAAGGGACTTGGAACATTTAAAAAGTTGTGGTCTATATATACACAATGGTATACTACTTAGTGATCAAAAAAGACAAACTCATGCCATTTGTGGCAACATGGATAGGGCTGAAGTAATTATGCTAACTGAAATAAGTCAGAAGGAAAAAGTTAAATAGTGGACAGTACAGTGCTATTACAAGCTATTAAGAATACAGCTTTCCAATTAATATGTATAAGGCTTTATACTTGGGTATTGGAGAAGATTTTGCAAGAAGAAAGGGAGAGTTGGGCTCAAAAGTATTTAATGCTGAAATTGATACAGTCTTATCTTTATTCTTTTTTAATGCTAACCAGAATTCAAATCAAGCATTGAGTTAGTTTAGTGGAAAATAATGACACCAACAACCACTAGTTTTGAACACAGCGTGCCAGGCATTGATTTGGGTACATATGTATATTAGCTTATTTGTTACTCACATAAACACTATTAGAGAGAAAAGATTATGCCATTTACAAGGTAGGAAACTGAGACTCTGAGGCTCAGAGAAATTAACTTATCCCAAGTCACATTGCTAAGAAGTGATAGAGCCTGTATTTAAAACCCCACTTCTTTCCACTCACCTGTAGGGCACAGAACAGGTGCAATGAGAAGACAGGATGATGATGATATATACATGATAGGACAAATGAGGGGCAAAAATAAGAGCCACAAAAGAAAATAAGAACGGGGCCTCCCTGGTGGCGCAGCAGTTGAACGCTGAGTTGCGAAGCTGCCAGCAGCCTCTGCAGCGCCAGTTCAATCCCTGGCTGCCAGGGGAGGGTCCCACATGGCGCGCAGACCTCTCCTGCTGCCTGCTGCCCCCCTCAGCAGTGTACTTCGTCAGTTTGCCTGCTCTGCTCTCCCCTCTGCCTCTGGTGAATTCTCTCACCCTCCTGTGCTTCTGACTGTACCCAGTGCTTCTATAAATAAATAAATAAATTTTAAAAAACAATTAAAAAAAAGAAAATAAGAACGGAGTAGAACAGAAAGGGCAAGAAAATGAGACCAAGTATTGAGTACGAGGGCATCCTTTAGACTGATTGGTTCCCATAATGTGGTTGTGTTTTGATAACTGTAATCATTCTGTATCTGAGCTGATGTTGTGAGTCCTGTGGAACTTACCAGATGAGCCCACTTTCCGCCTTAGGTAGTATCTCCAGAGAGCTATTTCAAAGCAGAGATTATACAAAAAAACTACCACATAGTCTGACAGCTTCTAAGAGCTGGCAGCAAATCAAACTCAAGTGATTTAAATTTAAATGTGTCCTTGGTGTACATGCTGTAACATTACACTGACTTTACAGAAAACTACTATTTTAAATCTCAGGAAAGCAAAGGGATAGTGAAACACAAGATACTTGTCCAAATGTAAGAAAAAGCAACAGCTTTTCTTGTGTGGGCCAGTTTCATAGTACAAGTATTTGTCAGTTAGTGCACACAAGTTGGTATTTATCAAAAATAATAAAAGACATAGCTCATATTTATTGAGCAATTGCTAAGAGCTGAGTGACTTGCATGTATTTAATGATCAGAGGAGCCTAGGAAGTTGGTACTATTATGACTGAACACCCTTTCATTATTTATTTATTTATTTATTTTTTGAATGCTGCTTTTTTTTTAAAGATTTATTTATTTATGCATGCAAGAACTGGGGTATAGGCCAGAGATGCGGTGGGGGGTGAGAGGATTCACCAGAGACAGAGTGAAGACCAGAACAGGCAGATCTACTGAAATACACTGCTGAGGGGAGCAGCGGGCAAGACAGGACAGGTCTGCTATGCCATGTGGGTTTCTTTCTGACCGGCCAGGAATCGAACTTGTGCTGCTGAGGCTGTGGATGGTTTCATAGTGTGGTGCTTAACCCCTTGTGCCACCAGGGAAGCCCCCTAAACACCCTTTTTAAAGATAAGAAAATTGAGGCTCCAAAAGTTAATTTACAGTCACTTAGCTAATAAGTCACAAAGCTTGGATTTGAGTCCACTTGTTCATAACACTGTACTCTACAGATATTCCCAGTAGACTGACTGTGAATGTGTAACCCCAATATCTCTACATGTTTTTCCAGAAAAAAAATGAAAAAAGAAAAAAAGGGAAGACGTAAAGGAAAAGATGATTTTCTTGAAACCAGTACAGTTCTTGAAGAAAATAACTTGTGGGATGATGATTTGAGCAGCAGAGATGGTCTGAACCCACTATTACTAGGAGAGGAATCTGTAGCAAAGGGTAGGAGAAAAGATGAGACAAAAAGAAATGGAAATATGAGGTAAAAAGGAAACAACAAAAGCAGAAAGAAAGGGCTCATAAATCTTTAGGACAGCATGAAAAGTTTCTAGTTACATGTAAAATTAATTTATCATTTCTCTAATTTTCCATTTTTACTTCTAATTTCATGGTTAAACATGACCCATTCAATTTAGTCTTTGGAATTAATATTGTTTGTTCTGACAGTTTCTCTCCACCCTGAGTAATACTCAGTTCCATTCTGCAAAGTTAGTAGCTCAATGAAAGGTGAGTGTGTTACTTGCTCTTTTTGTCTCCTCTAGAAGGTTAATTAAGTCAACATTAAACATGGCTGTGTAGCCGCAGAATGAGCAGTTGCTTGAAGGCTCATGGTTTGGATCTTTTCCTGAAAAATCCCCACTTCGATAATTATGTTTAGTGTTCTAACTGCCTGAATAGCTGGCTAATGATGGGTTCGTGTGGTAGGGCAGTGCTGGACCTTGTTTGCAGCTGAGTTTGTCTACTTCATGGAGCCCTGAGCCAAGAGTATGTGGTTCTCCATAGACAGCCTCCAGATTCAACCTCTAGTTTCTTCTCCAAAAATTTCCCTGGGCTTAGCATCGGCGATTTGATGCCCAGTCCTACAATTTTCAAAATTGTTTAGTTGATGTTTATGGAGTTTTTAAACTTGTCCATACAACTCTGAAAGTAATGTAGTATCATTAACATTTGTGGTATGGATCAATTCTGATGGCTTTGTTTATATGCATGTGACTGAATAATTTTTTTAAAAGTACTGCTTTGCACAAAAGCCAGTTTTTTTTCATGTAAGTGCAGCTGTTTTAACTTTTAAGAAACCACAAACATTTTTATTCTCTAAAACTTTAATTTGAAAGACATAGGACTTTTAAAGAAATACAATGTTTCTCAGACTGGTATACATTAAACTCCCTACTTCTATTCTCTTTAAACTTTTAAGAGTTGAATAAAGTTCCTGAGTTGAGATATTACCTAGAAACTTTACAGACCAAAATCCATGTTATTGCTGAATTCCAAGTACTTTTTGGGATATTAAATTATACTGGAAATGCTAGCATATGTAATAGAAACAAAAGGTAACGGTGGCTCAGTTCTCATGATCTCCCTGTAAGCTCAGAGAATTTTCCATGGACACAGAGTCAGATGCCAGAAACAAACAGTTGTGTGTTTTCCTGGGTTCACTGTAGTCCAACAAATCATGGTAGTGTTGTTTTCCTTCTTTTTTATGCTACAGCAACAATTCCATTTCCTGTTACATAGGGAAACCTAGTCTGATGTTAAAAGAGGTCACTACATGTATTTATTACAACATTAAGACCATTTCATCCATGGAAATAATTTTTTATTGTTCTGAGTCACTCTGGTTTGTGGAATTTGTACATGAGTTCCAGGACAAGGATGAAATGTTATGTTTATTTTGTTTTCTATCATTTTTAATGTTTTTTAACTGCATGAATATCAGGGTTGTTGTCATAGTATTTCCATATTTTTATTATTTGAGAAATTATTCTGCTGTATGTGTGTCTCTGTAGTCTTCATTGACATTCACTGTGTATACTGGATGTGCTGTATTTTGGCAGAACTACCTGCTTTCCCCAGTGCCATGTGAGCTCCTGTTTTTCTCTTTACTCATGTCTTCTCAATGTATGTCTTTACTGTGTTAAAGACAGATTTGTGTGCAGAGCTTCAGAAATATTTAAATGATCTTGGGGAGCTGCTGGAAGGACTTGAATTAAATTGTGAGCTGCAAAGGATATTTGTTATGCCTTCATTTTTTCTCTTGTATTAAAGTGAAGTGTTCCCTAGTTCAGACTGGAATATCTCTTTGTGCTTAGACTCTACCCGGGAGCCATAGAAACATCCCTGAAATTCACATGCAAGTAATCTTTGGTTTTGATAGCAATTATTGTATGTATTCATTACCTTTGAGGACCTAGATTTTTAAAAGCCACGTAGTCATAACTGCTTGAGTATAAACTTAAATAACAGTTCACATTTATAGAGAAACCTTAGATTCTGGCATTTTGGGAAAATATTTGGATAGAAAACAATGACTGTCCTGTGAGCTGAAATATTATTGCTAGTTGTTGTCATTAATTCCCTCCATGTATTACTCTGTATGTGTGCAATTCTGACTGACTGACTTAAGAATTAAAATTAAGTCATGTACTTTCTGACAGGGGTAGGAGGATTTGGTGTTCTTTTTCCCATCTTTCTTGTATCATGTGCCCTAACCAGTCACCAGCCCAACAGTGCCCTAACAAGTCAGCCTCCAGTAGAAGAGGGGACTGTAATATTGACTTGAACTTAGATTAGAAAAGGACAAAATGGGGAATGCTTATAGGTAATTTATTGTCTTCCTATAAATAATTTATTCTCTGACTGCTTCAAATTATACTACATGTATTCATATATTCACAAAGGGTGAATGTGTGTGGATGTATGCAGCTGGGAGCATGATACGATGTTCAGAAGTTGAAGATTGGTTTTCTTGTTAGGAAGTCATAGGATATTAATCCGAGTCATTTCATTTTCAACAGGTTGACATGATGAAAGAAGCCTTAGAAAAACTCCAGCTCAATATAGTAGAGATGAAAGATGAAAATGCAACCTTAGATGGTGGAGATGTCTTATTCACAGGTATTGTTGTGTTTACTTAGTTCTCTTCAAAAATATTTGTCATCTAATACCTGACTTATATGTACTCAATTTAATTATAGCGTTGTTTTTTTTTAATTACCATAGTAAGATTTTCAGTGCAGGTCATTGGAAAACATAAAAAAACACAAAAGAGAAAAACAAAACTGATCTTCTATTCAAAGACAATCACTTTAATATGTGAGTGTATGTCCTTCAAGTACTTTTGTACATGTATATCTGCATATTTTATACAAGAATATTATCAGTACATCCATATCATTTTCTGGATTGCATCGTCTATGTTCTTCTACACTGTGAACTTATGGGTTACATAGTTTTGCATTGTGTGACAGTATATCTTAATTGTCATTTACAAACAATTTTATTCCCAGGTGGCAAGATGAATTTAAATAATGTTCTATGCTTATTGACTTAGCTTAAATGCCAGATGAAGTAGCAGAACTCAACAAAACATAAACTGCTAATATTATTATTGATCTAACTAGAATTAGTTTTTATAAGGGGGATAACAGTGCTACTAAGGAAATGGTAATATTAGCATTTAACTTTTAATCTCTTTATGATCATGTTATTATTGTTTTATAAAACCATGTGCTAAAATCTCTATCCCTAGATTCACTCTAGTTATATTAGTAAACAAGATGATAATAATTTTTCATTTATAATGAGAATTTATTTTCCCCTAAATGTCAGAGAATGAAACTCTGTTTCACAGTTGTAGCCCTAACAGCAGAGACTGGTCCACAAGAATTTGAGAATGTAGCCTCAGGTGACCCACTGAAAGCATGAAGTTTCTTCAAAGGCTAATAATTTAGCTGATGTGAAATTTATATTGAAGCCTGTGTATATAGACCAAATATAGCCATCTTTGTTTTGACATAAAGCAATGTTTTATATTACTTACATTTGATTGACATTCCTGGAGAAGGAGGGTATTTATCCTGTGACACTGAGTATTGCTCAGTAGCACATACCTCTGGGCAAGGCCAGTGTTGCTGAGCTCCAGGGAACATAGTCTTATCACAAGTTATATGAACCAATCCAGGATCTCATGGATTGGTGCCCTGCACAACCTGTACCACCACTGTCCTAGGCAGTGACCTGCCTCTGGGATGTGGTTTCCATACCCACTGAGCCATAAGACACAGAACAAGTTGTCATAGATGCCTGTGCTGCATTGTCAGGTCTGGTTGTATCCATGTAGATGCAGTTTGTAAGTTCTACTTAAAATATTCTGTTTCTCCCTTTGATGCCACTTCTGTTCTTTAGCTGCACAGAACAGCTTGTTTTCCTTATGAAGTAGACTTTTGTGAACACAACAAAAAGTAATTCTTAAACTCTGAAAAATATAGCAGTTACCAGAGGGGAGAGGAGTGGGGAAAAGGAAGGAGTAGAGGGGGTGAATGTGACAGAGTAGTGATGCTGGGCTTTGGTGGTGCATGAGAGAGCCAGGGTCACACACCAAGCTTGTGAAGCTGTACTCCAGGAATTATGGACTCTTGTAAACAAATGGTAGATCAATAAAATTTGATTTGAGAAAAATAGACTTTTATTAAAGGCTAAATGTATAAATCACACTTCCTACTTTTTTCACCATATGATAATTTATTGTAGGCAGGTACTGATAAGATTTGAAGTATGATTTAAAACAGCTGTATTGGGCCTCCCAGTGGCACAGCGGTTGAGCGCTGGGTTGCGAAGCTGACCCCAGCCTCTTCAGCACCAGTTCGATCCCCGGCTCCTCCCCGGCCGCCGGGCGAGAGTCCCACATGGCGCGCAGACCTCTCCTGCCGCCCGCTGCTCCCCTCAGCAGTGTACTTCAGTCCTTCTGCCTGCTCTGCTCCCCGCTCTGGCTCTGGTGAATTCTCTCACCCTCCTGCACTTCTGACTGTACCCAGTGCTTGTATAAATAAATAAATAAATAAATAAATAAATAAATAAAAAATAAATAAATAAATCTTAATAAATAAATAAATAGATAGATAGATAAAACAAGCCCTATTATGGAATATTACTCAGCATTCAAAAGAGATAAACATATGCAGTTTGCAGCAACATGGATGGTGCTGGAAGGGATCATGCTCAGTGAAATAAGCCAGAAAGAAAAAGAAAAATACCGGATGGTCTCACTCATAGCAGGAATCTAGAAAACCTAAATATGGACCAGTAAAAAGAATAACTATAAGAAAGAAAAAAATCAAAATCAACAATCAACTATGAATCAGAGACTCTCTTTGGGGGGAGGGGGGGAGGAAGGATTGGGGTCAAAACGGGGTTGCAATTGTATGGGGAATATAAAAAGAAAAATAAATAAATAAATAAATAAATAAATAAAACAAGTTGTATCAACAGTCATTTAGTTATCTTAACAGCGAAGATGAAGGGATCTGCTAAAATCCTCTCGTGTTATCACACAACTTATACTGGGAACATTTTCCTTTGGTGAAAGGTCTTTCCACAGCACCTCAAGCCTAATGTTTTTTCCTAAACTTCTAGCTAGGGACTAATTTAGCATAATCTTTACACTTTTGGGGGTAATATTCAATACTCAAATTAATATGTTAAATGTTATTTTATTCAAAATGAGGTGTTGAGATATTAAGATCTTTACTCGGTAACTCCTAATGTCTGGTCCTACCTTCTATTTCCTACTTCTCAATTTTTTTTTCTTTTGGTAAAATATGCATAAAATAAATTTTACTGTTTTAACCATTTTTAAGTGTTTTGTTCAGTGGCATTAGATTCACAATATTATATATCCATCATCTTTCTATTTTTGGATTAGGTAGAATTGAACAAGAAACAAAATCTGGCTTTTTCCGTGTGCTCTGTGTCCTCTTCCTTTTGTAATTCAGAGCTTCGTTAATAATTGATGAGGAAATGAATGAAAGGAAAGCAGCTTTCCAATTCCAGTTCGACTGGGAAGTCTGTCAGTCAGGCAAATTGCTACTGGCAGAAATTGTTTCAATTCTGTTTCTCTTATATAGACATCAACTTACCTCTACTTTTATTTATTCTTATAAAATATGGATCATATAAAAAAGGTATAAAGTGTTTATGTACAGTTTAAAGGTCAATAAAAAATGAATACCTGGCCCACCAGCTGTATTAAGAAAGAGAATATTGCCAGAATCATAAAAGACTCAGTCCCAATCTCTGCCTCCCCAGCATGAAGTAACAGCTGCCCTTACTGAATTTTGTTGTATCATTGCCTTCTCTTTCTTTGAGTTTTAACTCATATGTGAATTTTACCACCGGTATGTTTTACTTCAGTATATATGTTTTCCTAAATTGTATAATGTTTAGTTTTGCTTGTCTTATAGTTTTACATTATTAGAATCATACTATATGAACTTTCATTTGATTTTTCTGCTTTTGATCTAACTTGATGCATAAGGCTGATGTTTCTCCGTTTTCACTACTGTGTGATATTCCATGGTAAGACTATTTGACAGTGTATTTACTGCTGATATATATTTCAGTGTTTTTCAGTCTTTATCCATTATCCTCATTGTAACTATGTACATTAGTGTGTGTGTGTGTGTGTGTGTGTGTGTGTGTGTGTGTGTGTCCTGAAGGCTTGTATTAAGAGTTTCTCTAAAGTAAACTCCTGGAAATAGAATTTCAGGTAATAAACTCTTTTCTTTTCTTTAATAAAATGATTATATGGTTTTCTTTTTCAATCTATTGATGTGGTTAATTACTTTCCTTGATTTTTTGATGATTGACCAGTCTTGCTGGGATGAAATCATACTTTATTATGATATATTGTTATTATAATACAATATTGTGTCTAGTTTGCTCATATTTTGATTATGATTTTTATTTCTGGGACCTATACTTGTTCTTTTTTGTTATTCTTATCTGACTTTTGTAAAGATCTGTGCTAACATCATAAAATGTATTAGGGAATATTTACTACTTCTCTATGCTCTAAAATTATGACTATTTGAATTGTGCGTTCTTTGAATTTTGGTAGACCTGACCTATAAACAGCCCCTATCAGCCTTGTGCTTTATTGGTGGAGATATTTTTTAAACTGATTCCTCTTCTTTTAGATAACTAGTAGTTTTTCTGAATCAGTTTTGATGGGTTCTTTTTTTGAAGAATTTATTTTATCTAATTGTTGGGTTGACTATAAAGTTATTCATATCCATGTAAGACTCATGGCAACTATATCTATGTCCCCTTTTTATTTCTAATGGTTATTCATGCTTTCTCATTTTTTCTTGCCAAAGATCTGTCAATTTTATTAATCTTCTCAAAGGACCAACTTTTGGCTTTGTTGAAATCTTTTTCTTACACGTTTCCTTTCTTCTTCATGATCCTATCTTTATTTCCTTCCCTCAAATTTCTTTGATTTTATTCTGTTCTTTTTTTCTTACATTTCAAGTGGGAATTTTAACTCTTTCATTTTGAATAATTTCTTAATGTGCATCTCTAAGACTATATAATTTTCCCTCCAGCTACTGCTTTAGCTTAATCCTTTGTATTTGATATAAATTTTTTGTTATTATTACTTCTAAATGTTTTCTAATTTCCATTTGATTTGTTCTTTGACTCATTCATGGATGATGACTAAAAAGGAAAAAAATACTTGTCATTATTGTAAGTTGCTGGGACACCAACTCATTATTCTGACCCCCAATATGTGAAGGAAAAACTCAAGCATTTAGCCTATCTTTCCGTAGGAATTCTATTTCAAGCAGAATAAATACTTAGTTGAGGAAGGTTTTCCTTTCTTAGATTTCCAGTAGGTAAATATAAAGTCCTAATAATGAGTCTGTACCTTAACCATTAAAACCATTGTATGAAATCATGATAAGGACATTTATAATGGAGGGTTCAGGCTGATGCTACCTGAACATACTGATATTCTAGTACCATTGAAAATGTGATAGTCATGGGCCTTGTGATATAATTCAGTAGCTATAAAGTCCCACCTCTGAGGTAGCCCTGTCAAGAATAAAAACAACTGAATGAGGGGGCCTTCCTGCTGGCACAAGGGGTTAAGCACTGCACTATGAAGCAATCTGCAGCCTCTGCAGCATGGGTTTGATCCCCGGGCAGCCAGGGAGAAACCCACATAGCGATCAGACCTCTCCTGCCTCGCCCGCTGTTCCCCTCAGTGGTGTACTTCAGTCAGTCTGCCTGTTCTGCTCCCCACTCTGTCTCTGGTGAATCCTCTCACCCCCTGCATCTCTGGCCTGGACCCCAGCTCTTGTGTGCATAAATAAATAAATCTTTAAAAAAAAAACTGAATGAGATTATAAATAAGCATCTATATTAACCCTCAGTTAACCAAAATACTCACAAGATAAAAGAACAATTTAATGTTAGATGATACACAAGGAAGCAATCAGCCAAATCCAGAATGTAGGATAAATGAACTAGTTTCTCCTATAAAGAAAGAAATAAGGGGGCCTCCCTGGTGGCTCGAGGGTTTAAAGCACCGCACTATGAAGCAATCCAAAGCCTCTGCAGCATGAGTTTGATCCCTGGCTGGCCAGGGAGCAACCCACATGGTGCAGCAGACCTCTCCTGTCTTGCCCATGGCTCCCCTCAGCAGTGTATTTCAGTCAGTCTGCCTGTTCTGTTCCCCACTCTGTCTCTGGTGAATCTTCTTACCCCCCGCATCTCTGGCCTGTACCCCAGCTCTTGTATGCATAAATAAATAAATCTTTAAAAAGAAAAGAAAGAAAGAGATGAGGAAGGGAAAGAAAAAGATGGTAAATTGGTATAGAATAAAATGACACAAGCAATAGATCAACCCAAAAAAATTTTAATATTTCTCTTTTAGCTCATTGTTTTCATCAGGAAGGCCATTTAGGGGATCAAGTTCTGACTGCCAGAAACAGAAATCCAACTTACTTTATGAAGAGATAAGCAATTTGCTTTCCTGGGTATTTTTCTATTTCACTTTAGTCTTTTAAAATAGTATGCAAGCCCCATCATAAATTTGTTGAAAATTACTTAATGAATTAAAATATTTTCTTTAAAATTACATATATAAAAATTATATATAATTTATTATTATAATTTATGAAATAATTATAATTTATAATTAAATTATAAAGCAGAATTTATAATTCTATTCTTATCATAAAAAAATTAAGGAAATCTCTTTTTTATTGCAGCTTTTTTTTAATAAACAGTAATATTTTTATCAAGTGAAAGACTGCTTCCTAGCTTAAATTTCGTTTTGTGTGTAGTGAGGTTTTTTTTTAAGATTTATTTTTATTCATTTATGCATACAAGAGCTGGGGTATAGGTCAGAGGTGTGGGGGTGAGAGAATTCACCACAGACAGAGTGGGGAGCAGAACAGGTGGCTCTACTGAAATACACTGCTGAGGGGAGCAGTGGGAGAGGCAGGAAGGTCTGCTGCATCATGTGTAGTTTAGCTCCCTGGCCAGGGATTGAACTTGTGCCACAGTGGTTGGAGATAGCATGATGGTGCTGAGACTTTAACCCCTGTATCACCAGGGATGGCATGTAGTGAGTTTTCTTAAAGGGATAACTGTTGCCACAAAAACTGTCAATCTGCCACCTAAGAATCAGGAGCCTGCCAACAACATAAGCCACTGGAACTTGTCATCACATAATTTAACCTGTCATTTACTCCTTTTACAAGGATATGTCAATTCAAGTTGTAACATTTGTAAATTCAGTCAAGCAATTCCTTCTCCATGATTACACTTATATTTTACTTTAAAGACATATTTTATGCCTTAAAAAATCCTCTAGGACAAAAATGTACTGACTTCTCTTTGAGTTTTTTCCCCCACATTCTGTGTGGAATTCTTTTTCAAGGAATAAAGAGATTGTGAGAATCTCTTTTTATGTATTGCCTAACCCTGTCTATTGTTATGGTTTGTTTACCTATAACTAGGAAACCATTTTTGTTTAGTGACTTGCCTCCTGAGAAGAAAAATTGCAGAATTTCATAAAAGCTGAACACATAGAACATTCCGTCCTCCTAAACGTTTGTGCTTTTTAGATAGGCATTTTTGTATGATTTGATTTTTTAATAAATGGGTATAAAATTAAATCTTAGACCTGAGGCCATCAGCATAAAACTGGCTTTACCCAGGTGATATTTTCAGAACTTACATCACCATTACTGTCTACTATTGTTCTTTTTTTTTGGGGGGAGGGGACTACTAACTTGTCATTGCTATTACTTAATTTCTAAGTTCAAATTATTAACGTGTTTAACCTATTATTTCTTAAATAAAATGTTTATTCTCTTATTATAGTAAAATACACATAACACAAAATCTAATAAGTATATGGTTCAGAGGCATGAACTATATTCATGTTGTTGCATACCCATCACTACCATCCAGCACTTTTTCATCTCCCCAAACTAAAACTCTGTATTCATTATGTACTAACTCTCCAGTTGCACCCCGCCCCCCCCAGTCCTTGGTAACCACTGTTCTATCATCTGCCTTTATGTATTTGAAAAGGTTTATTTCTAAGGGCAGTGGTTTGAAATCAGATTTGTGTAAAGAGAGCAGGGGTCAAATACCCTCTATAGGGACAAACTTCTGTGGAAGGAAAGACTGTATGATACTTTAAGGTCATTATTTATAGATAAAGAATAGTGACAGTCACTGATGCAATCCACTCATCATGTTCCATAACATATTTTATAGGCAGAGAATTTTTTGTGGGCCTATCCAAAAGGACAAACCAACGAGGTGCTGAAATCTTGGCTGATACTTTCAAGGTCAGTAAAAGATAATTTGTGTCTAACGCAGAGTATTTGCTACTTTAAAAATATTCATAGACCCACTTAATCAACGTCATGAAAAAGGGTATTTAATGTCACCAACTTTGCAAAATAATTCCCAATGTTTGTATGTTTGCTACAAGTTTTAGAAGCTATAAAACTCAAATTTCTCGATAAATGGGGCTTCATTGGGCTACCACAGAAGCAAAAAAGTTATTGTGCACATCTTCTTCAGTGTATAATCTTATAACCACCTGACAGGTGTTAGCAGCAAAATCAATGGCAACTCAATTGATTCTAACATGAAGTGTGGATTTTTCAGATTCGAATCAGTCATTAACTATGTTTAGGTGTCCACTAGCTAGTGGGAACTGTGCTAAGTACTGCACATATATACCTCAAGCCTTCTTTATTCCATTGATTGATATTAATAGATTATCTCATCAGACTGCTTAGTAAGGATACAATCCCCTAGAAGTTCTCATCCCCATGAAGATTCAAGACACAGTTTACACAGGCTATTCATATACTTCCATAGATACCTACTCCACAAATCAAACAGCATGTGAAGCTGTTAACACACAACTGAATCTGACAGTCAATCACACATCTAGAAGGAGGGGCTATACTTTCATCTTAGAAGCAGCCTTCTTTTCACTGGCAAAACCAAACCCTTTGGGTCCCAATTTCCCTTCCAGATACTCAGGGCCCCTGACAACCTCCAGAGGGATGGAAGTGTTTCAGATAGGTTTTAATTAGTGTTAGAATTATTCTGCAATGCCAAACTGCATGTTTCTATTATATGCATAGGACTATGCGGTTTCCACAGTCCCGGTAATTGATGCTTTGCATTTGAAGAGTTTCTGCAGCATGGCTGGGCCTAACCTAATCGCAATTGGATCCAGTGAATCTGCGCAGAAGGCCCTTAAGGTAAATATAAAACTCTACTCGTGCAAATGTAGCATGCTTATTGCATGGTTTTTCTAATACAGTCTGCTGGGTGGGTGGCAAGTAAGTTTGCCAGGAGAGAACTGGCTGGTACTTGAGCTGCTGTGACTTCACACTCATTAGGAATGAGGAACACCAAAGTGTAGGAAGATCTCTTCACTGGTGAACCATTCTTACTTAGACACCAGGTTTCCTAGAAAGGACATGGTTCAGAATAAAAAAGCAGCCAACTCATCAGTGTTTTCTTTGAGGAAAAAGAGGACATGCCACCAGTAAAGCTCTTCATAAAGTTTTATCTCCTAAGTCAGGTAATTGGTACAAAAGGAGTTATTATATTATTTGTATCCTTCTGTATGTCTGGACTATTTTATAATAATTTTTTAGAAATCCATGATTCAGAAGAACCTGAAAATATTAACTTCTTCATTTATATTTGGAATACTTAAATTTTAGATCATGAATTTCTCTTATTGCTTAGATGAGAATCAGAAAACCCAGAAAAAATATGATCTTCCCACATCACACAGCTAGATCAAGAGTGGAAATCACTGATAAGGAAGATGACCTTCCATTGTTATCATGCTTCACAGCTAAAAGGCACGTTCCTTCCCTGTAACTAACTACCCTATGAGATGGGCTGGATGCTCCATTAGAGCAAAGACCATTTCTGTTTTGCTCACCATTGTGTTTGGGCCATCATGGGCCCATAGTAAATACCTAGTGAGTGAATAAATGAGTAAGTGAGTCAATAAGGCATGAGGAGGGGAGATGGTATTATCTACATTTTGCAGATGAGCATAGAACAAGTGACTCACCCCTGTTGGTGGGACTCCTAATCCTTCCTTTCAGGTAGCCCTGCACAACATACATAACTAACTAAAGGACCAAAGTCAAAGACTTCTCGTAGGCCAAGAGGAAATCTGTGTATACAATTTACCTGTTTGTCCTCTCAGGTCCTTAACTTTTCTACCTCAGCACTAAACTTGGTACACTTTGCCTCCTACATTAACTGCCACTTCTTTAGCCAGTCTTTCTTCCCAGCTTTTCTCAAACTGAATCTTTGAGTGTATTTGTAGGACTTTGAACAATTGCCACTGAGCAATCTGTCTCAAAACATGATTTGTACTATGGTTGCTTTTTATTTGTTTCCTTTGGAGAATGTGTTTTGTCTCATTCATCTGGAAGGATTTGTCAGCTTTCTGTTTGAGGGAAAGATGGTATCATGATAGAATCTCCAAGAAGCAGGAGACTGGGTACTCACAGGTCTCTAAGCAAAAGGGAATATATTGATTTAGAGATACTGGACCATCATTCCTTTTGCAAAAAATATTGGAGGGGGAAACCCCTGCAATCAGAAAAGAGAACTACTGATGACCTGGAAAAAGATAGCCAAATCCCAAACCTATTTTGGCAACTCTCTGTCATTCTCCATCCTTCCTTTCCTCTGAGACCACGTTTTTTTTTTTTTTTTGAGGGCATCCTATTAGGATCTTATTGTTCTCCTTCCTACAGCGTTCATTTGACTTAATGTTAATGATATTCACCCTCTGTTTGAAACTTTCTGTGGCAGAAGCTATAAATAATCCTCACTGACAAAACAGACATTCTTTGTATATTGTATTTTGTATCAGCAAATGTGCTTCCTAAACCATGGGCCTGTGGAGTTGACAAATGCCCACTTGCCATATTCCTAGCATCAAAAAGTTCGTATAACCTTGTAGTGAAGGTAAGAGTTCTCAGGTCAGAAATAGGTGAAAGCATATAGGGCTTCCCCCCTCCCCCATTTCACAGGCAAAAATACTGAGAAATGAAATAAAGCATTGTGAATTGGTTTTAATGGTTCTAGAATCAGGTTTCCTGGGCTTTGACATTCCTCTCCCTAATTGTCACCCCACCAAATTATTTTTCTATTGGAGAAGCTTTCCTGATTATTTTGCCACAAACTGATTCTAGCTGAGATCCCTGTTTTCCTCACCCCTTTCTCCAGCTAACTCCCTCTTTCCATTTTTTGCCTGAATCTTACCTGTCTCAGGGAAAATATGAGTGTGGTTCCAGCTGTCTGATTTTCCCATGCAAATCTTGATGTCTAGCTCTGTGTCTATGGAGAAGCCCTTGGTCACTTGGGCATCTATTTGAAGGGCATAGCATTTAAACAGAGGTGAATTGTGTCTTCCTTACCAACATTGAAAGGTTGATTACTTCCCACATCTGTCACTGCTTGCTGTGCATTTGCTTCCTTCAGAATCTGAAAACTACTTCTTACATATTCATGCAAACCTGAGAGCCCAAGGGTTTCTGGGTAATCTCATTGCATTTGAAACACTTTGTAATGGGTTGCAGTCTATTCTTGGTTAATGAAGTGGGTTCTTACAGAGATAGTAATCATACCTATCTAGGTTGTAGTAGATTTAATAGAGAGTGCATTGTACATTCAAATGAAAGCATCTAGGAAGACTTTAGCAAATCTCTACTTAAAAACCCAGAACACATTTAATACATGGTACATTTAATATACATTGAACACACAGTATATTTAATCCAGAGAAGGAAAAAAGGAGGACATATTATTACTACATTTTACCATTGATGTGGCTAAAATACTGGAGACTGGACAAATTCCTAAAGAAATTTAGCAACAATTCTTGTTCTATAAATGCTGTTATCTAAGGAAAATTAATCTTGACAGCAGCCTTCAATTTCTATAGTTTTTCTCCTATATGTTCCACCATCCCCTCATGCCCTTGGGTAACCACCACCTTCATCCTCCCCCTCCAGTCATGAAAGAAAATAATGCAAGATTAATTAATACATCACAAGCATTATATTACTAGGATTTTTCCAGCAGAATGTTTGCTTTCTCAAAGAAAATGAGAATTCCAGTTGCTGCACAGCTGGAAGTGCTGCTCACAAACATAATACAAGTAAAAGCAGCCAACTTCCAAAAGAATACGTATTCTATTATTTCATTTTTTTAATGTTAAACAAGAGACAAAACTACCCTGTACTTTTAGCAATCAGATTAGTGGTTACTTTAAGAAAGAGGGAGGGAGTTGTGCTCTGGCAAATCGCTTAGTAGGTTACACTCTAATTTTTTTTTAAGTCTAGAAAAAAACCATACACACACACACACTTAGTTGTTGGATGTGAGTTATGATTAACTTACAGAAGTAATTCTGCAATAGCTAGGTCCGTCTAACTCTCAAACCCCTGCTTTACCTTACAGATGATGAGGGTGACTCATAAAAAACAGACTGACCTATTTTTTAATAAAGAAAAAAATACTAAAACATTGTACCCCTTATATCTCCTCATTTTCTCCCTCCCTCAACCCTTGTATATCATAAGTATATACAATTTATAATTGTCAATTATACTTTCATAAAGTTGGAAAGGAAAAAAAGACATAGTTAAGAGTAGATCTGAACCACATCTCACTCATTCTTTTTCTAGATCCATGCCAAGTTCGACCTCTTTCCAGGAACCTGAATTAATTATATGCTTTCTATCTCAAGAAGACAGATTGTAATTTTTGCTCTCAGGAGGAACTCACAGTAATGATTTTTAACTCAATCTTCTAGGTTGTATTCATTCTTCTAGTTAATTGTGAGTGAAAGAAAAAAAAAGGAAGGAAGGATGAAGGCAGGGTTGCAGGGGAGGTAGGAAGGAAGGAAAGGGAGAGATGGGTAGAGAGTGATACTTAGCTAACACCTTCCTGAAATTAATCAGATGAGGAAGCTGCTGATGGACGTGAGCTCCAAGGGCTTAGGTATTGAGTTGGGGGACTGTGCCATCTGCTGACTGGGCAAAAAAGGTGAACATTCTCATCTCACTAACTCCCATGCGGGAGACCAGTGATTTTCTCCTTTTGGCACCTGCTGTTTTGTTTAATGTCCTTTCTCTTATTAATAATGCAATTATTTTGCATCACAACAATTTATTATTTTAAAATGCCTTTGACAGAAATACTAAAATGATGTGGTAGAAAAAGATTTATAAGATACACACCCCATTTTTTTTGTTTTTGTCATGTAAATGAACTAATATATACTAAATGGAATTCCAGTAGACTTGTAATTTTAAATGAAAATGCTCATAATACATCTTGATGGAATCTCTTTTATGTTTCTTATCTACTTCCTGAAATAACTAACTTCATTTGTAAAATTCCTTGAATGAGACTATGGACTGCTTTGCACCAAATTTAAATTGCATAGCATTCCACTTGCTTTTCTTTTAAATGACTATGTTATAGAGGTCACTCAAACAGTATTTCCTCTCATTTTGACTCAGCTTCAACATTGATTTTTATGTCCAAAAATGTCCATGTTATTTTATAGATAGTCATACAAAAAAATGAAGATGGAAAAACCCTTAATGTTTTTGGGTTTTGTATGGTTTTACATGCCCTGGAATTTCCTTTAGTGACAACTAGAACAGCAATAGCAAAACTCAAAGACAAAATAGAACTAACTAGTATAAATAGGATGAATTAAATGGAAAAATAAAGACTTTGCATTTTTAGTTGTGTTGTCACAGGAAATTATACTGTATGGCCACAAGATTTTCCCTGCTGGGTCTCTACTGTGAGGGGCATGCTGACAGTGCCTTTGTAGGTTTAATTTCATCTAATTATCTGGTTGTCTGTTCCAGTTGTAGTCACCAGATCCATAAAACAATGATTTTTTTTAATCTATCATGCATGAATTAAGAAATTAAAGCACAAAACCAAATAGTCTGTGAGTTTTTAACAACTGTTTATGTTCCTTTTCCTGGCAGCAGTTGCCTTATCTGACAATATTCCCAGAGCTATGTGCCAGCAATATGGGGTGGCCAGAATAAAATGCTTTGGCATGATAGGGTAATAAATAATCTTAAGCTGTGAGACCAGAACAGGCATTCTGAATTTCAGCACTAGTCCCAAGACAGGAAGAAGGTAAAATTGGCCAACTAGGAGAAAGGGAATAATAATGTATGTTTTTCTT